GTGTGCCAGCTCCTCAGCCTCGCAGGTATTTAAAAGCTTTTCCCCCTTTTGTCCGGCGGGTTCGGAGCCGTCCCAGGGATTGGGGTGTCCCAGAGGGGACCCGCTGGGCACGGGGGCATCACCCCGACCTCCTTTCCCCAGGAGAATGGGTAAAAAACAGCCTGACGATCATTTGAATTCCTTTGCTGTAACTGCCATCTGCCCCTGATCTGTCCCACCTGTTTTGGGGACAATACTCATTAACTTCACCTGATTGTCTCTGGGCTTAATGTTCTGGTCGTTTTAACCTGTTAGCAATGGATGTAAAGCTTCATACCGTGGTTTGGATATGAGGGTACCTGATCTGAGTGGGAGCGGCAGGTCTGGAGGCACATGTGTGTGCATGGGGTACTGCAGAGCTGCCAGGACCCCCAGTACCCCCAGCTGCACACACAGGCCAATATGGGGCAGATGAGGACTAGCCCAATGAGCGGTTCCCTGCAGCACCCCTCCTGCTTTGGCCTCCTCCTTCAGCCTCCGAGTTTTGGGGCAAGTTTAATGCACCTTTCTGAGCTCTGTTTTCTTGGCTACAAACCTGGTGTGGCTTTAGCCACAGGTCTAGCTTTATTTAAGTGTTTTGAGGTCCTCAAGCTGCTTTTAATGGCACAGTGAATTTCTTTCCTTTAAAAAAAAAAAAGCACGCATACCATAGGAGCTATAAATAGGAGATAATAGTTTTTATCTAACCACAACTTTGTGCGTTGCATAGAAAAGGCTTCCAAGAGGACGCAAGGATGAAGCGGTTCATGGCCATGTTAAACAGGAATAAAAACAAGGATCCCCCACCTGCCAAGCTGCTGGATCTAGCAGGACAGCTTTGCCAGGACCTCCAAAGCTCGTCTCCTAGTCTGGAGAAGCTGGTTGGGGCCATGATGGGATGCAAACACAAGATGTATTTTCTCACTAACATCCACGTTGTCCGAGCTTGCGTGTTTGTTCATATCCGTAATGGGCAGCATGATGCAGCCTGCAGACTGCTGGAGGTAGGGATGTGTTCTTTGTTTCTTCATGGAGACAAAAAGCAGTGGTAGAAAAATAGTAGTTAGAGCTGTTAGTGCAGAGGTACCCCAGTTACAGCACATGGAGCATTTCCAGCTGGCGCACGGCCGTGGAAGGTGATACCTGTCCGTTGGTTGACCTGAAACATGGCATAAAGTCTTTGCTACAGGCAGTTACCATTAATCAGTCAAGGGGAAGAAGGTAATTAAGTGATTAAGGGGTGGGTTGTAGTTTGTGAAAGCAGGATTTTTGTTCTCTAGTGTGGTGGTTCTTGGAGTTTTTCACAAGTTTAGAGCTCAGGACATAAAAGCCTTGTGGAGGCCAAGTTTGGAGAGCTTGCCAGGATGGGAAGATAGAGGAAGGCTGGATGGCACCACTCAAAGTGATGGATTTTGGCCTCTAGTTCTGGTAATGCAGCCCTTTTCACCAGGAGGAAAAGAAGGAATTAGGCAACTCCCTGTGTACATTAAAGAAAGTACAGTGAGTCATGTACTAGGGTAATGCTACAGTTTTGTCAAACCAGTAGGAATCTCTGAGTAAGTTTCTAGTTGTAGAGAGTTTTCTCCTTTACAGGAAGCCTGACTGACTATGTGGAAAGGGTTTGCTTACATACTATTTTGTTTTAGTATTGCAAGGCAGAAGAGAAGGAAGAGCTGGTGCAACTTTGGCATGAGATTCATTACCAGAGGGTTATGGAGAAACATCACATGGATTATCTGACACCACTGCAGAAATTCCGTTGCAGAAAGAGGTACTGTGGCGTGGGGGAACAGAATTTTTTTTCTCTGCTGTAGTTAGCAGAGGCACGGGGTAGAGATGCAGAGGCTGGTTTTGCATCTCAACATGACTGCGTTTTGGAGGTGGGTTTTTCTTGGCATTTTGACCACTTGTGGCAGTGTGAGAAAAATTCCCACAAATGTGAATGACTCTTTTTGGGTCCTTTTTAATCCCATTTTCTCCTGTGTACAGGAATCCTCCACCTATTTCCCTTTGTCCTGAAGGTTTGAAGAATCGAAACTATTCAGATGAAGTACGCCAGAAGCTGCACAGGTTTGCTGCAGAGGTGACAACAAATCCAAACAAGAAACAGCGGGTAGGGATATGCTACTTCCAATTGAGTCTCCTTGTCACAGAAAAGCAGAACTCTGCAATCAGGGGTCTATAACTGGTTTCATTCTAAATCCTTGTTCTCAGAAGCCCCAGTGGAGCTGGGATTCCCAATATTTGATCTTTCCCTAAAGATTTCCTTAAAAAAATCATCAAATTCATGCTGAGTAATATCACTTGCTTTGGACAAAAAGGTCAGGGGAAATAAGTTCCTCACTGAGCTTTTAACAGTTCTAATTTTGTAGTGATTGAGCATAGGCTGCGAAACAACCATCTACATTACAGTGATAAATAGCCTGACTGAGTTATGGTCTGTATAAAATTGCACTGTGCTTACCAGAATATGTTTTGTACTGACTTATTACATTAAATTCACAGAATTTGAAAACACGATAGCCTGTGTTGATGTATGCATGTATGTACCTTATTTGGACAGGGACAAATTTGTAATAAAAGTGACATATGAATTAAGTCAGTAATCCTTGTTGATAACTACCTTGCAAGGTGAAGGCTTCAGACTTTAAAGTCTGTGGTGCTGGTGGTGCTGAATTTTTCCAATACCCTTCTCGTATGAGGCAAAATGACCTGGTGAATAGTTCTGCAATGTGAAGATGGTTTATTTCTTACCCTTCTCACAAAGCAGCAACATGTTAATATAGCATTATAAAATAGCAGTATATGGTTTTCTTTAGCAAATTGACTAGGGGAGCAGGGTGGAATGTGTGTTTTCCAGCAGCTCTTGAGTTTATATATCAGTCTTCTCAATAGGATTCATGTAGACTTACTGGAGACCTAGCGAACAAATGTCTCTGGGTTCAAAAGCTCTTTTGCTGGGCTGCTTTTGGAATTGAAGGGAAAAGACTGATTATTTGGATGAAGTTTATTCTGTTTTCCCTGATCTCTCTCTACACCTGGGTTTGCAGGAGGGATTGGCTCGGGATGTGAACCTGCAGCCAACTCAGGTCTATAACTGGTTTGCAAATTATCGACGGCGTCAAAAATCCTGCCTGCCTCGTACAGAAAAGCTCAACAACTCATGTCCTGAGAGGGCTTTGACTTACCATGCAAAGGAGCAGCAGGATAAAGGATCCTACACTCCACAAACTGCAGGTTTGTCTCTTCCTACAGGGCTTGGGATGTGGTCCAGAAAGCTGAAAAATGATTTAAAATTCCTTCAGGAAGGGAAGGATATTCCTTCTCCAGAACAGCATCTATACGCCAAAGGATCGAGTGGACACAGGAGGCCTCTGCTTCAGTGGAGTGCCTAATTGGCTAGAGGCTGTCACTCTGTAGAAGGAGCAAGCATTGAGCAGGCCTGTGTAAGGACAGGTGAAAAGAGATGTGTGTCTCAGAAGGGGCACCAAATGAAAGCAAATACATGGGAGGCAGCAGGTTTTAGCACTCAGATTCTGGGATCAGGGCAGTACTTCAGTAAAACCCAGTATTTCCATGCCCCTTCACAGAATCTTGACCAAACTTCAGTCATGGGGAATAAGAAAGCCTTGCTGCATTTGGCAAATTAGACTTGTTTCATTGCTTTTTTTGGAGTAACTATTAGTGTTCCTTCACCTGCCTGGCCTGCACCTTTCAGATGGATCTTATGTAGGCATCGGCTCTGAGCAAATGGAGATAACCCTCATGCCCTGTGACCCAGGGTGGGAGCAGTCAGCTGCAGATCTGGATAAGCCTCCTGAAGGAACTTATTTAAAGATGCTGGAATCCAGGTGATGTATGAAAAAGTCTTTACAGTGATAGTTCAGAGATGAAGCGACCTTTAAACTTGTTGATGGAACTGACTTTCATGTCAATTCCCAGGGGACATCACTTAGGAGTTGTGACTTCATAGACAGGAATGGTCCCTGCCCAGCATCAGGCAGTCGGAGCATCTAGCAGTTAATCTCCCAGCTGTCAAGGGCAGGATTCAAAGGTTTAGCTGGGGTTTCCCGCTCTTTGCAAAGCAATATGTCTGGCTGATTTATTTTTTCCATCATTACAGCTTTATGCAGAGCAGTGAGCTGTATGAAGCGAGGACAAGCAAAGCTTTGCTGACCACTCACAACACTGAACAACCTATAGCTTTTTGCACTGAGGCTGTGCTGGAACCAGGAACCTCCTTTAACTCTGCTGTCCTGCAGCTCAGAGAAGTAGCAAGCAGTACTGATGCCAGCCCCCAGCCTCATAACTTTGTCCTGTGCTCTTGTGGGTCCCTTACCTTCTCAGATGAACGGCTGGCCATGTGGCAGGGCCCTTCCAGCACCAGAGGAGTCTCTGGCTCCATGTGGACCCCAGGTATAGAAGGTTAGTAAACCTGCACCCAGATCTTTGACCTTAAGAGTTTCCAAGTGTCTCTTCCCTTTGTTGTAAACGCTCTTGCTCACATGTCTGTCTGGTGTCATGACAAATGGGAGCAGGGCTTATCTTGAGCTCTGGAGTTCTGCTCCCTTAGTAGCTCAATGAGAAAACCTGTTGATTTAAGGTGTTGGAAACAGACATTCTTATCTACTCTTGCTTAAACTGTAACTGCTTCCATAAAATAGTACTTTTCCAGCAATGTGGATTCCTTTTAGCATTTCCATTGGAAGACTCCCTTCAGGTGTTGTCTGCTCACCCTGTCAGTTTGTAAGCTTCTGGGTTTTTAAATGCCTGTCACTCTTAAGAGATTACCTGAGCAGAGGCCAGGAACTTCTTTACTGTATCATGGTGCTTGTCTTCAGCAACACATTCTCTCTTTCCTTTCTCCTTCCTACTATTCTTTCTCTCTCTCTCTCTCTCTCTCTCTCTCTGTTTCCCTTTTTTCCAGTCTTGTTCAGCGTTCCCACCATCTCTTTTCTTTTCCCTGTTCTTCAGAATAGCCTTGATAGGATACATAAGTGCTGTTCATCTGTTTTTGCTGTAGGTCTACAGAACAGAAAGGGCTGCGACTGCCGTTGACCCAGTCTCTGGTGAATGTGGAGCAAGGAGGGGAGGAATAGCTGGGTCAGAGATTGGGAGTGTGTTATCTGTAATCATCTTTAATACAAGCATTTATTTCAGCAGGTATCAGAGCTCCCTTGAGCAGAGTCCCTCAAGGTGGCTGTATTGAGGCCAGTTCAGGAAGAATCATTCAGCAGTCAGATTTAGAGGTTGAAAGCTTCATCCTTAGAGAAGGACAGCTAGGGACCCTCGAAGCTATTCTTCCCCACAGGTAAAGGGAGCAGAAAGCACAGTGCTTCTTAAAAGCAGGGGTAACAATGATGCTGTGGGTCTAGCCTTGTCCTGATCTCCTCAATGAAGAGCATTGCAGAAAGAATGTGGAGATGCATCTTGTTCCAGGGGCCTGACTCTCTCCCCATGTCCGTCGTATTTTGTACTTATCTGTGCACTGGAAACGGGAAATGCTATGTGTTTGTGTTTTACGGTGTAGCACAAAGGAGATTCAGGACCAGCCTCATGAGAAAAGCTATGAACCCCTCTCTTTAAAGCAGGTTTAGCTTCTAAGCTATCTGTCTGTTTCTTTTTGGCAGAAAATCATAATCTATAGTGATCCAGTGAGAGCTGATCTGTGGGCTGGGTTGGTAGGGCCTGTACTTCATCCTAAAATAGGTTTTGTAGCTTCATAACCTCATGACAAGATTATTCCATAGTGCAAGCTTTCCAAATTGAAGACAGAAAGACAAGCACTGTTCTGTCCTTCTGTTTTCCACCTGTAACAAATGTTTCAGACTGCAGGTTTTTCTCTGGGACTTGAGATAAATTCACAGAATGCAAAACAACAAAAATCGGTGCCATCTTCCGTATGTTATACAACTTCCACGTTACATAAAAATAAACACTGCCAAACAGGCATTATGAGGTTCCTTTAATTCACTGATCTGCAAGACAGAGCAGGAGCAGTAGCCTCATTTCATAACCCTTCTGCTTGACACTGTCCAGCATTTGTGCTGGCATGACACTGTCAATACTATGTCAAAGAGGTACGTAGAAGCAGTTTTATTCCCACTTTATGGACGAGGAAGCAGAGGCACAGAGAGACTTTGTGGCTTGTCAAGCAACAAGAGAAGGCAGTGATTCACTGGAGATAAAGATCAGTGGTTTTTTTGCCTCCCAGTTCCCTGCTAAAAACACTTCTGCCTTTTCCCCCCGTTTCCCAGTTGGCTTGGTGCCTACAGTTGTTCACATTCATGTCAGACTCCTCGCTCTGAATTGCTGGGTAGAACCCAGGTATGGGCATTGTAACCCCACCTCAGTCTGTGTTTTAGGATTCGCAGTTTTAAACGGTGGCTAAAGATCATGAAAGATCGGTGAGGCTTGCTGGCAATATTTTGGCTGGATTTAAAATTGCATGTTCTGACTCTAGAGTGAGCTCATGTTTATTTTTAAAATATGTTCCGCCAGCAGAAGAAATCTATGGTGAATGTCTCCTTGTTGGGTATGTCAGTTGTGCCAGGAATCCACACACCCTTTATCGTATTCCTGGTAGGGGCCGGACATGCTGCTTCATTGACACCTTCTGGTGAGGATATAGTTATTTGAACTCTATTTGTAAGCCCAGTTTAGTGGCCTGGTCCAGCTCCCCCCAAAACCTTGAACTCCCCAAAATGCCACGAATGCTATGGAACAGCAGTCTCTTTAGAAATGAGTGATGCTCAGGCTGCAGCTTCATCTTGGCCTTTTTTGCAGTTTCTCCCTAGAGAGCCAGGGGACTTCGCGTGGGTAGCCTTGGGTAAGATCCCTGCTCAGTGAATGACAATGAATGAGGATCACCTTTGTTATCAGGCAGAGCCCTCTAACAGAGTTACTGGATTAGAGAGGAGTATTGTGTCACCGGAGTCATCTTTAGCAATAATGTTGCAATGAGCATTGCTCATCTGGGGACTCATGAAGGAGTCAATAACTTAAACCGTAAAGAGAATGAGTGTTGCTATCCTGGAAAGACAGGGTGGTGAAGTTATCCCTGCCTTACAGGTAAGAGTAAAGCACAGAGAAGGAAATTATTTATCCAAGGTCACCCACCTGGAGTGGACGTAGTGTTATGCTCTCACTGCCTTGCCAGCACCTGTGCCTCCCTGCTTTGTAAGTGCAGGGGTAAAGCTATAAGTCAGCCAAAGGACCCTTGTCTCATTTTTAAAGGTGCTCACCTGGAAAGGACTTGGCCTGAAAGCTTATTAGAACAATTCCTGTTGATTTCTTTCATGGGCTTTTTACAGTTGGTCCTACGCACTTGGGCTGTATCCAAACCTCTTATGATCTACAGGGCTGTGAGGTGGGAGTGTGAGGGGGAACCAGGCTGGAAGCTGACTGTCTCCATCTGCTCCTGCTGCCTGACAGCAGAGTTTGATCCAGCTAGCAAACTGGAAGTCCCTGTGGGACACCAAACAGATGCTCACCTCTACAGATAGTGGTGGTGAATCCTCTTCTCTCCTCAAGTTGGGCAGGTGGAATGTAGCCCAGCTATGGTTCATGCAGAATATAACTCATGCCTCCCATTTCAAACAGAAAAGCACGCTGAACTCTATGGAGCAAGACAGACTGCATTTATGAGCCAGCATATTGATTTAAAAAACATCAGTGCTAAGATGTTCATTGCAGCTTACTGCTTCTGCCTGCATTTTTGGGATTCCAGCTCATAGTGCTAGGAATCCTCCTGCTGTTAGGCTCTCCCTCTGGATAACCCAGCACCCCGACGCTGGCAGGCAGCAAGTTCAAAACACACAAAAGGAGGCTACTTTTTGGCATGTTGCATAATTAAATCGCAGAATTTGTTGCTAAGGGTGTTGCGCATGTCAGTGTAAGTGGGCTATGAAAAAGGATGAGACAAATTCTTGGGGGAGGAAGGGGTTGAGCCCATTTGTCGTTAACTAAGTGTAATTGCCTGAATGCTACCTCCAACAGAGGTGTCCCAAGGCTGACTGCTGGAACCTGGGGGGGCATTCCGAGGAAGGGCAACTTGGCACTTGCCCTGTCTCTTCTACTTTTTTCCTATGCTCTTTTAGTTGGCACCTCTGGTCTGGCTGTTCCTGGGAGTGGTATGGGCAGTGTTGTTGGAGTAGAGATACTTTCAGTTGGTGGTGAAGGGAGAGAACATCCCATCGTCAAGTACCCAGTGTCTCCTACTTGACCCAGTGCCCGCAGACTGTGACCTCTTTCGAGAGGTTGGCAGAGCTCCTAGGGGAGGTGTGGATGTGATAGCCATGTCCCTAGACTTTCAACTGGCGGCCTTGAAAAGCTATGTTAGAATCATAGCCAATGTTGTGGCTATGTCTAAAGCCACATGTTTATGTGTTTTGACTCCTAAGATCTGTGTTTTTAAAATATGTTCCAGGAAAGAGACATCTTGGTAGACATCTCCTTGTTTATGGACAGTGTTCTGGGGGCATAAGGAAAGTTGCAAATCAAGATACCATTCCTGTATACTGCTCCTGGTCAGGCTAGTCCTCCCAGTCCAGAATCTGTATTTTCAGGCCATAACAATTTGCAGAAATGGGGCAGGTTTGTAGACAACAGAACTCTGTTGAATGCATAGTCTTGCCAGCAGCCCTCCTGTCCTGCTGCAAAACATCACAGTAAGTGGTGAGTAGAGCATAAATACCAATGCATTTGTATATCATATTTTCTTCCAGTTCCTGTCAGACTGTGTTTGGCAAGCCTCAGTGCCCACCTGTTTCTGCACCCTGCATGGAAGAAAGCCAAGCCTTGGGACAAAGCCAGGTAAGAGAACACACCTGATGTTCAGGGAAAGGAGCTTAGCCCTACACGTGTTATCCAGCTGTAGTTCTCGCACAGGAGGTGTGAAATCTCACATCGTATTTAGTACAAAACACGTTTGATCTAACCATACCTTTTGGAATCCAGTTCAGAGCAAGCTGGGCATTCCCTGGGTAGCATCCAGCAGATGCTAGAAGGTGTTTTTGGTTTTTTCCACTTGGATTGCTTATCAGACTCTAATTTTACTAAACATTTCATTGAAATGATGGCCAAAGCAGCCTGTGCAGATCCAAAATGTCATTTAAATTTTGAGCAATGGAGGGCTCACCTAGCACTGTGGAAGGAAGATGAGAGGAAGATGGCTGCTTGAGGGCCCTCCCCTTCGGGGGGTACTGCAGAATTTGACTGTGCTCTCTCAGACCACTTAAAATCTTTCATGTAATTTTCATTTCCAAGTCTGAGTTATTGATGAGAAAAAAGTGATTTTGGACTTTTCAGCGATGGCTGATAGCAGTGTACAGAGCAATATTATTATAGGAAATGATAAAAGAAGTTACTTCCATGATCTGCATGCAGTCTGCATGCCTTCTTACGGTGATTTTGAGGCAGTAGAGAACAGAAATTAGAAATCTGGTGCTTTCAAGGGGATGGGAGCACATCTCTGGATTAAATGTTACCTAAAAATAGGACCCAAGAAAGCCCTATCTAAATTGTACCTTGAGCTATTTTTTAGCTTCACATGTGTTGGTCTACCAATCATTTAGCATCCATTTCTGTTTCTCTTGCAGTGTAAGCTGCTGGAGAAAACCTTTTTAAAAGAGATTTTGAAAAGCAGGAGACGGTATCTGCTGGCCTCATTATAGGAAGCGACTGCAGCTCTGAGGGCAGTAACAGAACCTCTTTTGAGCCTTTGAAAGCGTCAATATAAAGATCTGTATCTTGGAAAGTGGCCTTTTTACCAGCCATAATGTGAGCCAGATGAGTAGGAAAGCTTTGGGCATTAATAATGAATGAGCCTTTTCTAAGATTTCCAGAGCATGCAGTCTCTGTAGCTAGAGTTTTCATCTTGCCATTTTGCATTCTTGCACTGATTTTGCAATGGTATAGAAACATGACACTCAGTGCAATGTGGGTGGGGGAGCAAGAGACTGTGTGTTGCCTGCAGATGTCAAAAGGGGACCTCTTCAAATCTTTGCAATAATTACTTGGTTTAGGAATTCAGAAAAGCAATTTTTGCATATTTTAATGTGTGCTGTAGGAAAAGGAAGAGCTTGAATGGGTAAATGATCTTACAGCATTCTACAGACTTCCTGGGCACTCTGTTTCTTGCTGAATCAACTTGCCCTGGGCTTGTTGCAGGAATATGCAGATGTTTGGTTCCTATGTCTGAACCACAGGGGTGCAGCTGCACACTTCCTTTTGTCCACACATGACTTTCAATTTGCTTTTCTTAGATCACGCATCCCATCAGAGCCGAAATGAGAGTAAAACAAAACAAGCAAGCAAACAAAAAAAAAAAGTTAATTAATTTTGGAAACATTTCTTTCTCTCCCTGAGCAGAGCTCCCTTGTTCAGGCGATCACTCCCTTCTTAATTATTTCATCCTGCTCTTACCCTCTGGCACTTACTTGCTTTTATAGGAGCTAATGCCTTGGGCAAAGAGAAGGGAATTGCTCTTCTCAGAATTACTAGGAGTTGAATTGTGCACTGATTGTGCTTGTCATTTTTACACCCACCTCCTGTGCAGATGGATTACTCTGACTGAACTTAGAGGGGAACAAGGGCTTTGTCCCTTCATGCACACAGCCCTCACCACTGATGTTTCCTCCCACCGCAGTCTTGTGCTACTCTGTGTCTGCCCTTCCACCACAAGTACCGCATCATTAAAGACTGTACGTAGTGAAGCTTTGATTCCTTCCTGTGTCTTTCAGGTCCTGGAGGATCCAGTTGGTGACCCGTTAACCGACACGTTCTGGGCAGCATGGCTGCTCTTTGAATTCTCAGCCGGTGGACGAATGTGACCTGCCTGCAGAGATGCTCAGTGTGGTCTGCGCTTCCCTAGGAAACACCCCATCCTTTCCTGTTTTTTTCTCTTCTTTTTAAATGAGTGAGGGGGTTGACATGGAGATGAGTAGAGACTGAGGTAGAAGGATGAAGGCTTTTTCTAATAGTTACAAAGTTTGTTTTAGCTACAGTTTTGTTAAGACTTTTGCAAAGGATAGAAGAAAGCCAAAGGTGATTGTGGACTGTAGGTTTTTACTGGGGCAGTCTGAAGCTGCACTGTAGATGCTAAAAATACCAAGTCACTGGTTCTGTGGCAGTTATATATTTCTACCCAGAGTACTGGTCACATCTGAGTGCTTCATTACATCATAAAGGTAGATGAAGCTCCTGTACTCAAAAAGAGTAAAATGTAGTTACATTGCCTAGCAGTGGATATTAGATAACTTTTCCTAGGCCTGGAAAATAAGGTTTCAGCTAAGTGCTGGTAAAATACTGCTGTTTCTCATCCCTGCATTTCTGTTGTACTGCTAGGTGTAACTTCTGGAGTGTTCCATACTCTGTAGTGCCACAGATGACACAAACTGGAGCATGGCAGAATTTTCAGTGCCTAAGTCAATGTTTTTGCAGGACTGGGGGAGGGCATACCGGTGTTGTCAGTATTTAATGCTACCTGCAACTCAGATTAGCCAGGAAAGAAGGATAAATGGAGAAGGAGGGAGCCGCTGAACCTTCTTGATCCATTTTCAGTCCCCCGATCTGGGTGGACTGAAACTGCTGAGGCGATTGTGTCACCCTTCGGGTGGTCTGCAGCAGTCTGACACTAGGCAGCAGCAGGCGAGCACATCCTATTCAGACGAGTGCCCTGCAAAGCAGCGTGAGTTGTGCAGACTCCATTTCATACACACTGTAGTAAGTGTGGGGCTAGCACGGTATTTGGCTGAAGGCTGCTTACTCCATGGGGGTAAGCTGTTTCACTGCAGCTCTCCTGGGGAGCCTGTGCAACTCGGTTCCTTTCCCCCAGTACTTTTCCTTACTTAACCCATTCTCAAGGCTGCCTGTTACGCTCCTCCATCTCATGCTGCTCACGAGTGAGGAGCCCTGTTCTCTTGGAGACTAAAAAGCAGAATTGTGTATGAGAGTATTAGGGCATGAGTAGCAAAGTAGACCCTTGATGCAGGTTTAAAACTAATGCTGCAAGTCAGTGGGCAGTCTTTTGGGTATTTTCCCTAAGTATTACTGCTGGTTTTTAAATCTGTATTGCAAAAGGGGTAATCCTTGCCAAAACTCCAGCCTTGAGATACCTGAAGTAGATGCCTCCAGTGCCTTTTGTAATAAAGTTAGCAAATAAAGGTTATGAATTACTCTTTCTCCAGTTCATTTTTCAAGGTAAGGGTGTGAAGCGATTATTCACCCATGGCGTTTAATTACACATTAAAACCCTGGCACCAGCTTGCCCTGGGTACACTTGTGTGTGTGGAGACCCTGATGCTTCCTTTATTTTAGTAGATCTCACTTGGCCATTTTCTGGTGGAGGTTTTGTGTTCGAAACAGTGGTGTTTGGAAGGGTTATGCAGCATTTACACAGTTGTGTCTCGTTCCGGTGAATAAGTACGTCTCGTATCCCGGCTGCTTTGAAAC